ACCCCTTTAACTATTCCCGGACTTCGGATCACACCACTCCAACGGAAGGACGTGCTCTCCGTAGTCAATCTTCTTCTATCTATTCTCCGTTCCTCTGTGTACACAATAAACTATTCCTTCTATTCTGGCCTCCACTGACTTCTCCTCTACTAAGTAACCATGGTCTGAAGATCGCAGTTGCTAGGGTTTAACTTACTTAACCCCCTGCGATAAGCTTTCCATAGTACACAACTCATTCGAAAATTATGGTTGTAAGAAATAGAGTTTTTTCGCGCTCCTGTAATTCAAAAAAGTTGACTTTTCTACGCGGACGAAGAACAACGAAGAATATTGAACGTTCAGCATGGAATATTTTCGGCTATCCAGTTCGCAGGATAGTATACCTATCGCAGATTTTTCCGTACTGAGAATAAAAGTTAGTAACGCACTACTTCTTACGTAATTAAATTTCAATAACCACGTTACCGATCACAAACTACATAAGAATCCACCTACAAATAGCTGTACGCATGGCTGGCCGACGGGGAGCAGAAGAAGTGACCTTAACGCTAGGATAAAAGACCGTAAAGTCAACAAAAATATATTTTAAAAATGTAGTCGTTTGTTTGCAACTTGCCCATCGGGGAAAAAGATGCATTGGTGAATTGTCTAAAATGATTGATGAAAACAACACTACTTAGGCTACACGGAAAAAGCATGCTTTATGTATGTCGATACGATATGTCCATACCTTTAGCTTACAAAATAGAGTAAATGGAAGTAAGATTATCCAATTCCGAGGATTCTAACTAGCTGAATATTATACATGCTGGTAGAAGGGTACCGATACAAACAAAACAGACTAGAATTGCCATTGCTGGCTTATTAACCGTCGTAAGTCTGCCACAAGCAATTCTTGTTGGGGTGACCGGAGATTCAAAGCAGGCTTCTTCGCTCGCGGAGTGATAGGTGTATCTGGAAATACTAACATCCATAGAATAACAGTCGTCGATCAGGTTAGAGGACGTAATTGTCTTGTCTAAAGCCCAGACGAGCGTTGTCTGTACACTGATTGGTTAGTGTTCTTCCAATACTGTTAATAATCCTGCTGAAAACTGACAGGACAACGAGCCAAAGCTTGACGTTGAAACATTGGATTACTTAACGGACAAATGTAGCTTAAGTAGTGGACCTTATATACCCCTAACCCTAGTATTCTGTCTTGTGGAACCGGTAGCGATAGGGGTTTTAGGGGTAGGAAAACAGGCTAGACAGTGAAGAAAAGTTATAGAAGTAATGGTATAGTGGTAAACCACATTCGTTTTGTGGTTTAAATCCGTTCGGCATCAACCACGCGGTGCAGAATTATGCTGAAATACTGGACTATATTTTAATAACATTTTTATGCATCTTAGCCATTAAACTAACTGGTTACTGACCTGTCACAAATCGACATTCAGCAGGTTATTCACATATCTCTTATTTACTAAATGCTATTTTTTGCCTATTTTTCGAGTTACACGCTCTAATCCACGGCTTAATAGCGCTGCGGTAAGCAAACGTAACCACAGTTTACCCCTTTACTTCTACACATTTCCCTCACTGCCTATCCTATTTCCCGCAAAACAAACGCTCAATAACACCAACCCCGTACGACAGACATTTGGGGCTTGTGGTATATACAGTTCTCTACTTAAACTAGCTTTGCCACCTAACGTTCGTGAATAAAAAGGCCGGGTTCGGGTATTTCAGACCTGAAGTCGGGTAACGCTAGTTTATGATGGAGAATGTATACGAGAAATGATCATCATGGTCTTTATTGTTTTTGTCAGTAACTTATTATCTGCACACATAACTGTTGGCCAAAAATTCTCACGAGGGCTCTAGATTGAATTCCAAAGCATAAACAATTAGCAACTTTCGTAACGTGACTGGTAAGCGCCCGTCTACCATTTATACTACTTATTTCATCGATGGCATGGATTAGCAAAGACTACTTCAGTTATTCTGTAAATGACAGACGTGGGCGTTCAGTTAGTTAAACGGTGAGCTAAGAAACAAATATATTTAAATTTAAGCTGATATACACTTTTAGAAAAAAGGAAGAGGATACTTGACAGATACGAACCAGAATGACGTCCGCCAACGCAGTGAACAAAGTGGAGGTAACTTGTATTGGGTCAGAAGATAACTAGTTGTTCAGCATTCAGTGGCATATATAATGGGTGATAAAGAGCTATCACAAGAAAAAAAGGCATTCTGGAACTTCACTTAAAATATTTTTCGGAGTTACTAAGAACAGGAACCATTTATCGTGACTAATTGGTCCTTAAGAACTTATAGGCGGTAACGGTCCAAATAAAAGCTCCGACGTGCTTGGTTATTGATGATGTCGGACAATAAACACCAAGCACAACTTATTTTAAATGCAAAGAAGCGAGGGTACATTTGTTTTTATCCCTTCTCGTCATCTATGGCGGACGATATCGAGAATCTAAAAATTCAGCCGCGCCAATTTTTATTTTTCTCTATGTGGGAGTAGATGGAAATGAGGTATATTGATCATAATACGAGAGGACTCTTCAGAAAAGTAATGGCTGGGAAGGACTACTCCGAAACAGAAACCAAATGTTTATTCAACATCAAGATTTGGTAATAAATTTCAGACAAAAGCTGTCCGAACAATGTTATAAACAAGTAATTCAGATATACTGAGTCTTATCACGAGACGAATTTTGGGATAAGCCTAATTAAATTATGTGTTAAATTCGTTAAATGCCTTAAGTTTTAATGGTTTAGACGTCTTAAATTAGATTAAGCACTAGATTTTATCAATAGTTTCAATGCTTCCACCTAATTTGCAATGTCCTACAGAGTCGAGTAGTATCGTTTTCAAATTGCCTTAGACACACTCTGCTCCCCCTGCCAATCGAATTCCTTTTCGACGGTGACTGTAAGGAAGAAATGTTTCACACCTTAGGTTATCAAAAACGCAAATGTTCTGATTCTGCACCAGCCAAAAAATTAGCCCGCCATATATTAAATATGTGATAAAGGTCATGCAAAATTACATCCATATATGTCTTCACCAAAACCATAAAATGAGTTCTGGAATTTAGGAAAAGGGCATATTTTCACGTTCTGAATAAAACGAGGTTAAAATATGACCATGACCAGGCCTTTAGAGCTTACTAGCTAAGTCGAGAACTCATTACCAGCTGCTGCCAACCACGGTGTCAAAATGTAAAATCTAGAGCTTTCTGTTTAAAGCAAGCAAATGGGAACCCAGTTGACGGTTTTAACAGTAAGGACTGTTGTATCAACGTTAAGTGATTCAATTTCGGACAAAATTAGCGAAAATTGCGGGAAGCGTGAACAGGAATGGAAAGGGTGTCACAAAAAGCAAAAACCTTTCCAATTGTGCCTAGAAAAAAAACTCAGTCTCCGTGGTCCAAGTTTAAATGTCCAAAATAAAATTCTAATGCCCAATGATAGATAGCAGAACAAAATATAAAACAGGCATGTATTTAAAACACTAATCTTGGTTTCTCAAAATGAAAAACGCATAAGGAGACTCAAAAGCTGAAAGCGGAAAAAATTAACTTAAACCTATTTGAAGACTAATGCCGGATAAGATCTGAGCTACTGTCATCTTGCTGACAATCGGACCACTATGGAAAAACAAATGCTTACGCTATATTATCATTGGTAAATTTTACTTATGTAAGACAAAATGGATACTTGCCGACTCGCATGGTCCGTCAACCGTCTTTTGGTTATCGATATATGAGGACGTTATTGTGGTCATGCACTCTCTTATTCCAAATTGTTTGTGCAGAACGTATAGAATGGTAGCAAGCGCCATTGCGTGCGGACTGCCGGCAGATATAATGCTTGTGCCCCGTTGGAAGGACTTGTAACTGATCGGATATATCATGACAGGTATGTCGACAGTATCACCAGTTACAATTACCTTGCGTGCTCTTCCACCACGCAGATGGGCCTATTTGGGACAAGACAGATTTATAAGTCAGGAGAAGGCTTTTTCGAGGTAATAAATTAAGTGTGGGAAATTAATTTCGATTCTCCTAGAAATAATGCTAATTATATGCCATTTTGCGCTTTCTCCTACTACTTCGATAATTCTATAATAAGAATATACCACCCGTAGAAACGAGCAAAAACCATAATAAAACTCTTGCCCTACCCGAAATCTTTAACTAAAACGGGACTTAGTTTAGTAAACAGAAACCTCTGAGGTGCTAAATTGCACCACAAAGAACTGTGAAAGTTCATCAGTAAACGCACGGTAGGTTCTAAGGCTCAGTTGGTAATTGGAAGGGTGGGAACCACGAAAGCAACTATAAAAATACTAACTAGACCTTAAAGAACGAAATATCATGCAATAAAACTGAATTGTCTTGAATAAATTCGCGGAGTAATTGCGCGTTTTATATTTTCTAGAGGGTCTGTATGGGTTATTAAATGGGAGCAGCAATTCGAACCAACAAGCATGATTTAAATTTGAAGAGAAGAACACAAGAGAATTTTTTATCGTTAAATGTAATCAAAGTAGTTTAAAAACCGGATTTGAACATGGGAACCAACGCGATATCTTTACCTCCGCCATTCCTAACGTTTTAATATTCGAATTAGTTTCGATAACATATTCCACATTGAGCCACTGCCAAGGTATTAAGTTGGGACACTTCTTGTCAAAATATGCTATTTTGCGACCACACACTTCAATAAAAAGACATGGTGGTGTGTTTTTGTCTGGTTTAATCATTTCAACTTTGTCGGATACAACTCCAGGACAGGGTCCGTACTGGCTGTCATACTTTATCATATAGATCAGCTGCTCCGGTGTTATGCCGGGCGCATTTATCGCAACGACATCAAGTCCTCGTTTGTCTGCTATGGCGCATCTGACAAGTAATCTCGTGATGTGACCAAATCCATTGATGCCGATCCGGGCTCTCGGTGGCCTACAGTCACCCTTAGACAATATCAGTAAAGGTTACCAGTCATGAGGCAAAAGCGGATCCCCGACTCTAAAAAAAGATTTTAGCGAGCAAAAGTGCTGCACTTCTTACTCTTGTTTCCATTTTGCATACATTCCAGGAACGCGCGATAACAAAAACGGCTTTCGCAAAGCCCCCGTGGGTAAATTCAAGTCACTTAAAGGGAAGCAAAATAAAGTTTGGACAATGGTTACTCCATCGTCTGGACATTTTTATGCCCTTTTAAAAATAGGTCTTGCAAGTTTGAACTCTATGGAAGCCATGACAAGGACTTTGAAAATACTCTTTTGGGATTTGGGAAAGGGAACGGGAACTGCAGCAGAAAATGAAGGGACAATCTAAAATGGACATGCCTAGCTGTTGAAATGCAGCACAGAACAAATTACAAGAACTTGTGAGAAATGAAAGAAAAGGAAAGCTTATTTTAAAAAAACATGATATCAAAACGCTGCAGGTGGACATCTCATATGATCGGTAGTTTCCACTGTATACACAAAACATAAGGCGAATTTGTATAAAGAGCATAAGTTAATTTTTTAGCGAACAAAATATCCGTTTACTTTATTTAAGTTTGCCCTATATATATGTACATATATGAGAGTTATTAGTTTTGGTATACCTGAGTTGTGCAGGAGTCCGAGCCGTGACTGTGTTCAGAACACTTCAGTTATCGCGCCCAATTACGTATGAGAATAGAAGGGGTAATACCAGTTGGTGTTGTTTTTTGTATACAGGAGCGCAGTGGTGGTCTGAAGTCCCAACGCGCGAGTCTGCGTGCTGGCATAGTGTGTGCGTGAATGCGTAAGCGTCCTGAGAGAGTTATTAGCCTCTTGATCAACTGCTTGGCCAGCAGTAGACTGTGGCATGTGTGATTGGCTGTCCCGGAAGCAAATTGAGGATCCCAGTCACGTGACGGTTTGCAGGCTTGGCGCCGGCGCTAGAAGTATCAAGTTCTCTACGTTTTTAGCTCATCAGTAGATGCTTCATTTGTTCGGATGAGACATTCGGTCTAAGTACAGTCATTTCCGACACTATGTACGCGTTTTTTTGAAAAAATATTAAAGAACACTACTTGGGAGGACTAGTCCAGCGACGTGTTCCCATTCTGTAATATCTAACTTGCAGTAGAGAAACCCGACAGTTCCAGTCTGAATTCCACTCCCAGATAACGTTTTATGAAACCGTAGTCTAGGAAACTTGCAGCGGGGTCTGCACACTCTATACCGTTCATCTCACCATGCAGTTCCGGCAGTCTGGATCACCCTTTTTCCATTTTTTCTAAATTTCATATATTTAGAAGGACGCGAAATACGCAATTTTCTTGTGGTTTCGAAAATACGAATTTATAATTCGCGATAGCAAAATTCAACACCTTAAATTGTGCACTGGGAGCAGGTTAATTTAAAAGTGATGCACACAGTCTGCATTATGATTTGCGCAGATATATATCTGAAGAAGTTGACTACAAACATATATGTGGCGCGGTTGATTAACCGTGTGACTGAAATAAGTGGTTTATGTATTACAAGTATTAAAATAGATTACTTCTCACGCTTGCAAGAGACGGCAATGACCACCAATACCCAAATGAGATTTAAGTGCTACCCGATGTTCCCGCGACACTCAGCGTCTTCAGAATAAAGTGTCAACAATAAGTGAAAGTTGGGCTCTTAATATAGATTACGGTTTGCCGAAAAGCTTTTGGATTTAGCTCACTCGTTTTACGTCGTGGATTATGGTTCTTTTTTGTAAACTTTGCCTCAATCAGTTGTAGTTTAATAACTTCTAACAGTAGAATCCAACATAACCGCTATATATAAAGGAGGATAGAGAACGTCGTCCAATAGCTTTGCGACAGTTAGTCTCATAAGCATTTGTCGCAAATAAATGGAGAAGCTAATCAAAACGGAACTAAGGAGACATATTCAAAAGAATAACTTGCTAAGCGCAGCATAACATGGATTCAGAAGTGGTCGATCTTGTCTCACTAACCTGCTAACACCCATGGAACTTTGAACGAATTCATTGGAAATGGGTTCGTTAGTCGATGCGATCCACACTGACTTCAGCAAGGCATTCGACAAGGTTCCATACAGATGACTGATTTCAAGGCTGCATCAAATAAATGTGACCGGAAATCTACTCAAAAGATTAGCCGACTTTCTAACAGGCAGGCGTCTGCATGATTGTATTGGAAACGCTAAAGCAGAATGTAAAACCATCTACAGTGGGGTTCCGCAATGAATCTTTCTGGGTCCCCTTATGTTTCTGGTACATGTGAACGACTGCCTTTATTGCGTTACGTGTGAGAGAATGTCAGGTTTGCAGACGACCTAAAGATTAGGAAGTCAATCAAAAGCTCGGCGGATGGGCAGACCTTACAGACTGACTTGGATCACTTGCAAAATAAGTGTGATAAGTGGCTACTGCAGCTCAATTTTAACAAATGTAAAGTCGTCTGCTTATGGTCTGCTTGTAGAAAAGAGATACCTTTTAGTATGACTGCGTCATTGGAGGTCACAAATTCGGGCAAGTGAATGAACTAATAGATCTAGGTGTATGTACGATACCCACTCTCAAACCTTCAACTCACTGTGTTAAAACAGCAAAGAAAGTTATGGACATTCTAGGAGCGATCAGAAGGTCCGTCCTCTATTTTGATGGAGTTTTTTGGGTGAGAGTTAGGAACATTTGTTCAGCCGATGTCAGAATATTGCGTTCAAGCGTGTTGCCCCAGGATGAAGCAAGATTAAGCAGCACTGGGGAAAGTTTAAAGAAGGCTACCAAATTAGACAACGGCTTACGAGGTCTACCATATGAAGTTCGACTAGGAAGGCTCAAACCTTTTCCTCACTATTATAGGCAATACAGAGTAGATATGAGCATGGTATTCAAACTCATCAGGGGAGTAGACTGTGCCTTTCAGATGGCTGACTTCTTTGAATTGGCAGAAACGAAACACCTGCGAGGTCATCCATACGAAAAGAAGACACAACATGCCAAATTAGTTGTGTGGGCCAAATTAATCTCCCACCGGGTCATCGAAGACTGGAACAACTTTTCTTCTTCAGCTGTTCCTGGTGAAAGTAGTGACGCATTTAAAAGCAGACACGATCATACTTTACTTGATGGTCATAAATTAAGTAGGCACCAAAGATTTATTTAATGAAAATACATGCATAAATGTTCAATGGCTCAGCCTATCTCCCGTATATATGCTTAATTATACTGAAG